TGCGATTTTTGGCGAAATGTAATTGAATTCTAACAAAAAAAAAATATCTTAATAATTAAAAAAAAAAAAATTAAATTAACTAAAAACGACAAGTTTGATTTATAATAATTTTAGCAGTCTTTCGTAAAAAGTTAAAACTTAAAATAGATTAGATTAATAACAAAGGTTAAAAATAGTTCTTTCGAATGAATTCGCGCGTTTATTACTAACCACCAATCGCAGTAGTTAAAATGTTTATTAAAAAAATAAATAAATAAAAATTTGGCATAGGAATATTTTTAACCGGTATATTTACTTTTTGCTTAATAATGAGTTTCGACAAGAAATTGTCAAAGTAATAATGAGTTTGATTGTTGTTGTAGCTCATAACAGATGATCTGTGGGAAAGAGAATCGTGTTTGACTTACAGACAGCAAACGGGGTGGGATGGAACAGATTGTTTAATATGAGGTCATGTGGTAGGTAAGAAGAGTTATAGATCGGAGAGTTAGGTATATTGAAATTAACCTATTTGAAGCACGATCAGTTCTAGACTGATTAACCAAGTGTTATTTACTCTTTTCAATAGAGACCGTAGATCTTTCTTCTGGGGAAAATTCGACCAAAACCTTTTTTCAAAAACTACTGGTGATGAATATTTGACGATAACCGATAAAGCTACCAAGAATTCGCTTGATTAAAACTAAATTATGGATTTGAAAATTTGAAACAATTTTAAGTCGTCTATTTATGTAATAAACCCAATTAAAGGTTTTACAATCGCACAAAATCAGCCTTGAGGCAGAGTTATTTGGCCCCGTGAATCGATGGTAGTCCTAATATACAATTTGCTACTGTAATTCTTGGAGTATTGGGTCAAGAGGTAGCTTATATAAATTGTATTCTAATTTATGGAGCGTGTTTTCAAGAGGGCAAAATAAATTCTGATTGATTTGTAATAGTTTTCACGTGTATTATTTAGTAATTACATGTACTTTTAAACTAGAATACACTGACTTTTAATTGCTTAGCTTAAATCTATTATTCGTTTTTCCCCTGAATCTCCAGCATTAACGGATCGGGAACTCTGGTAATAACGAGTTAAAGTTTATGAATTAGGGTTTGAAAGTGTTAAAAAAATTATTCAGTGCATTTACTATGAATAAATAGATTAAAATTTTTTCTTTACTCACTATTCCCCAAATTTATCTCGTTTCTTGTCGAATATAGAGATATTTTAAGTATATCTTAAAACGATTTTCCTTCTCCGTAAATTGGTTTAAACAAAAACTCTTCCTAAAATCCTATTTACTCATTGGGATCAAGTTAGTGAACGCACGAAATTTGTATCTTTTTAAATACAAATGGTTTATTAATGCTTTAAAACCCCAATTTATGATGTTTCACCCATAATTGCCAATGACTAAGCTGTTTAGGAGAAAAATGGGTTGTAAGTTTATGCTCAGCTGATCCAAATTAAAGTAAATTAAAGTAAAAAATTGAATAAAATAAAAAATTTATTTTTATCGCACAGCAACAGTGGTCACTAGAATAAGCCTATAATCTTTCGGCAAGCTTCTGTACAGTGTCTTCTCAATACGGAATTTGTAGACGACACTGAGGTGTTAGTAGGACTAATCAGTTCTTTGCTCCTCTTTTTTGAATGCAGGAGGGTACATCAATGATATAGATGTGGTTTAATATGTATGCACTTCATAGCTGTTAAGATATATATAAATTTTTGATTAGCACATTGAAGCAAATCAGTCTAACCAATTTAATTTTTTTGATTAAATATGTAATCATACATATTCTAATGGAAATTTGAGAATTATTTTGAATATCCATTCTATATATTTAATAAAACAAGTTCATTCCGTCCCCTTTTGTAATGTTCAAAAACCAAAATTTTTATAAAGGAACTTATATCTACTTAGACAGTACCTGAATTGATGTTATTATTCTTTGGGTATTAAACTTAATCAATTTTTATAAAACAAATTTTTCTAAAATTTTCTACAGAAAGAATAATATAAAAGGTGCCAATAAATCTCATATATATGCTCTTTATTTCATTTTTTTCTAACTATAAACTATATAATAGTGACAACTTAAGTATAAGCAGTTGTAAAACTATTTTATTAATATACTTATTCGTGTAACTGGGCCAAATGATTGGACAGTTTGGGAAACACCATCTATATCCTATAATATATTTTATGGTCAATAATATGATTTTTGATTAAAGACTAATTGTAATTAAAATATATGTGAACATACATACATATGTATGGTCTATAATATTATTTTTAGTTAAAGTGCTAATTGTAATTAAAATATACATATATATATTTGTATCTATATGTGTGAAATTCCGGATACTTTTTATACATAACATATAATCATGTATTATACTATTAGTCGAAGTTGAATTTAAAAACAAAATTTTTATAATTTTTTGATATAAGAAAAACTGTACAAAGCCAATTTTATAATAAGATTAAATGTGATAGTTAAGTCCATATGTAAATCAAATATTGTTATAGATTATTCAAAAAGTACTGGAAATTTTTTAGAAATCATCATTACACGTTTTTTAGTACAAAATGTTGTAAAATTACTTTAAAATGTTTATAAAGACATTTCTGAGACAAAGGCTTTTCGGTTTTCTCTGAAAAAATTTTAAAAGAGATAATTTCTTTTTGATGTTATTTAAATTCTATAAAAGATGTTAAAATATGGAAAAAAGAATATGGAAAATGCTGTTTTTTCAACTTAGAAAAAATGGATCCAACATTTAAAAATCTGCTTTTTTTTAATTAAACAGTTATGCTGTCTTAATAATGACTACCTCTTTGAAGATAGTCTCTCAATTTGTATTTGGAGTGTTCAGCCCATCAAGCAATGCGCTTATATCGCAAGTCTGTTTATTAGAATTTGTTAGATATTTTGATTATAAAATACAACGCAATATGGATTGTTTCAAATATGTAATATGTTCTTTAAGAACAATATAATGTTTGTTTATTTTTTAACTCAATTAATTCTTCTAAGACCTTGATTTTTAAACTTAAATCTGTTATTGCCAGAGACCCACATGCCTAGAAGAATAATATTGTTATAAAATTAAAAAAAAAACAGAAACAAATACTTTATGTTTTGTCAGACAATAGTAACTGACAATACAATGTTAAGACTTAATGCCAAGATTCATGTCAACCATGAATACTTCAAAATTTTCCAACCCAGGTTTCTTAAATTATACTAATCCACCAAAATTTTGAATGGTTTTTTTCACTCATGATTAATTAATTACATCAAGTACATGACATCATCTTCAGTATGGATGAATATCTGTTTTGTCATTGTATGTAGTGGTCCTTGTTTTTCAACCATGATCGTGATCGTACAAGTTCAACAAAAGTTCTAAGTTCTGAGTGAACAGAATCTTTTATTATTGTCGGAAATACTTGTATTTGTCGCAGGGTTATGAACCACATAAATTAAAAATTCGACGAGACTTTTCAACATTGCCTGGGTTCGCCGTTTCTTAAAGCCGAATCGTTTTATGCTTCGACTCAACTGTACTCAAAAAATCGAAGATCTAGTTTAAAACAGATAAGGCGTAGAACGAGTTCATAGCTTTATCATATTAACATTTTAAAATAGACATGGAACAGCTTTGTGTAAAATCACTGTTGTGAGAACACCAGTGCGCGGCGCATATAAACAATGCAAAAATTTAAATTCAAACTAAAACAGCTGAATCAGCTCTTCAAAACAAATTGAAAGCATTCTCAGAAAATATCTTTTATTGTGGTGTCTTTCTTCATTTCCACTATATTTTTTACATTATACACATTGTCAGTTCCCTGAAGACGATTATTGAAGATAGTTGAAATATTTGATTATCACTTAATAGAGAAGTTTTGACGAGTAGTGAACTAAAACAACAAAAATTTGGGTTTAATATTCTGGTTTTAATATTACTTTACTTTGAATTTTTGGCTGACCATACAGCTGTATCGAGTATTGCCAAATACCCATCATCAGTGGTCTTCGGATTATTTGTTGTATTTAATTATATGTAAATAATTTTTTTGTTAAGACTGCAATTACTCAAGGTTGAACTCGTACCCTGCCAAATTTGAAGCGCAGAGTCAGCGTTCATTAGCCAACAGATCCAAAACCGTACTAGACTTGTGTGTACGCATTTTTTTCTGAGGTTTTTGTTAATTTACTGTGAAAGTTTTTATTAACAAATTCACTTGCTGTGTTTATTTTTTATTTTGAATTATTAAATTTCAATACTATTCTGTTTGAAATATAATATATAATTAAGAAAGAGCAATTTGTATTCTCTATGCACACATATCCTTCAAATAATTGGAGGATTAAATCTTTTAGCGCCAAAATTATTCACAAAAATCAAAACAAAACTTTGTAAACAAACACAGCTGATATGATTGATGCGTTGCCAATCACTTTTACATGTGTGATGCGCTGCGTATCGTTTCAGCAAAGAAGATCCAGATCAGAGAATATTTTCTATGATCCAGATCAACGTTTGCTGAAACGCAGTTATTTTTAATTTGTCTATGATGTATTCTATGGCCAAGTTTTAGAATTATCAAAGCAGTACTGACAACTTTTCATTCGAAAAATACAAATATTACCAATCGTTGTGGCGGCTTTTTCTTATTCGCACACCAAACTGAAAGTCGGGTGCTGCAGATTGTATAGTTTGAGTGTAGTTGGAATTTGTAAAATTTGCAAGATACAATAGTTATTTTATTCTATTATAGCAATAATATAAAAAATTTTATACAACATAACTGAAGTTGGTACATGGTGCGTTTAGAGATGCATCCACACCAAAGCGAAGGCTTACGAACGAACGAATATTCGCCGGTAATCGTACCTGCAAAAGTCTTTCCATTCGCAAGCGTTCGCTTTGGTGTGGATGCACTTATAACGCCGTCAGTCTACTTTATAACAATATTTCGATTATTTCTAGTGAAATGTACGATACATCAACAGAAAAAAGGCAGGATTTTGATGTCGATGAATATCTTTTAACTAAGCAGGTTGACGTTGGCGACCATTCAGCGTTACGTGAAAATAATAGGAGCTTCTTAAAGGATTTATCTAAATCGAATACAAATGCTAATATTACTTTCTCAGAAATGGAAGACAGCTTTAATGATTTAATATACGCTCGGGATGTAAGTAATGGAGATGCGTCGCCTTTAATTTTAAATTATACGCTTTCAGAGCGTCATCAAAACGGTTTTTCAGCCCATTATAATATAATTACGGACGATGATAAAATTTATATAAATAAAGCTAAGAAACGTAAGGCAGTTAAAAGAAATAAAAGCTTGACAGGTGTTGCGCAAAAGGTAAAATCCAACTTTTATTTTATTTTCTTAATAATTAAATATCCAAAAATATGTTAAACCATTCATTTTTTTTTAGAAAATATCGAAAGACAGTCCAAAATATAAAAGTAAGAGCAATATTTCAGGATTAATGTTAAGAGAGCGCATTGCACAAACTCTACAGACTGACGATGATTTATTTTCTAAAGAAGAAGACAAACGTAAAGTCCGGCAATTACCAGATCTTTTACCTTGTCGCGAAGGAAGCTGGAACAGCAGTGAAGCAAGTTCCTATAGCAACAGAAGTAATATGAATCGATATTTTCCGGCAGACAATCATGAGTATAAATACGGTAAAAATCATCAAATGGGTGTTGATATTGTTGATAAACTTAAGAAGCTTTTCGGTATCAGCTTGAGCAATAATAATGAGCCGGATACATCACGTAATCCTAGGTAAGTATTTTTAAGAAATATTGAATCATTGAAGTTATATAAAGTGTATATATAGTTATAAAATAGTATACGAATCATTACAGAACATAAATGTCAACTTTTTATAAATCTAATGGCATTTTCGATTGGTAAATCTGAATTCAATCAAGATTTACTTTCGATCTGTTAAATTTTGTTACCAAATCGAACATTTTTAGAGTAATCTAACATATCTGTAGTAGTATTCTTCTTCTTCTTAGTTGGCCATTACAGAAGTGTGTCGTCCTTAGCCGCGTCGACACTTTACCTTGTATGTTCAATCCCCTCCCCCCTCTGTAGTAGTATTAGTTGAGATTTATATTTTCATAAATACATATATCGAACCAAATCACACTTTCTGTTAAATCATATAAAACAGCTGTTAATTTCAGGCTAATCTTGTTACTTTAGCAAAATATCTAGAGTGTTATAAATGTATCTCAAATGTTATACATTTTGCTTTAGACAATTTAGTAATTGAAAATGAAAATACACTAAAAGTGCATTAAAAGACTATCCCGATTTAAAAAATAACCGCAGATTTAAAATATATTTGGCTATATTTAATTTCCGGTAGCAAAAAAATTTATTAAATGTAGAGATGAAATTGTTTATGAGATAATGTGGCTATTCAATTTATAATCACATAATGATCGGATACTGCTGTTAATTAATTAATTAACAAACAAAATAATGACCGTAAAAATTTTCACGATCACAGTTTCGATTTTTTTTTAGAAATATTTATTATTTAAACCTTAGATATTTTGATATAATAATATAGTTTAGTGATTCTCTTTTCAGAGCAGACATTCCAGTCACAGGTGGTAGTCTCAAAAGATATGGGAAGGTTTATAAACCCAAGTTTGTCAATCATACATTTGACGGTGAATAGCATTTATAAATTGTAACAATAATCTATTATTTAATTTCTCATGTTATCGCAGCTGATATTGAATTGCAATCTAATAGAAGCATGAAAGATTTTAAAACTTTTCAAAAGCCGTCCTGTAGTCGTCGCAATGAAATGGGCCAGCTATTGCAAACATTTGGTATGTTGATAAAAAAGATGTCTGTAACAAATGAAAATAAATATTTTACTTATAGAAAAACCTAGATTAGAAAAGTCATACTTTACTCCTCAGCCTCTGCCTCATAAAATTGTCAATAATTGTGGGAATGTTGATGATGAGTTCTCAGACGATGAACCTGAAATAGTTAATGGAATTGATATAGGTAATATAAGACAATCATTGCCAAGCTTAAGTGAAGAAGGACGAAAATGTTTGCCAAAACAGTCTTCGTCATTATTTGGAATGACTCCATTAAGATTACCGGAACTAAATACCATTCAAAGACCCATTTATTCTCAAACACCAATTTATAATGTTCTGAATACATGCAAACGTTTGGACCATGATAGTTCTTTGAATCAGGTTTTTGGAAAACATGGTAATTCTACATGTATTTAAAAAAAAAATGACTGTATTTAAAACACTGTACAATATTTCTCCTACTAGCAGGCATTAGGCAACGTTTATCAACAAAGGCTAAAACGGTGTCTTCCCTGCCCACATTGAATTACCATGACAAATACATCGAATTTCTGCAAACGTTAGCATTTAATTCCGATACTTCATGCTCCGATACTTCCGATGTGTCATCGACATCAAAGCAATTAAGTTCCTGTTCCGAGAGAGTCAACTCTACAGCAAATTGCAACGTTCCATTTTCACATTGTTCAATTGATCTTGATGAAGGCAGTGATGAAAATCCAACAAAAAGTCGTCAGATAAAACACTTTTCAACTACAACCGTCGCGGATGACGACTCAATAGAGGTGCTAGAATTAACAAAGTCTAAACAAGCGATTATATCACAATGCAGTAAAGTTAAGGACAATGATATAACTTCATGGTATGATAATAACTTTGCAGTTGAAATGGAATTGTAAGAAGATATTAACATATCATTTCACATAAATTTTCATAATTGTTCTATTGTAGGCCAGAGGTTACACCAGTCAATCCGCTGAAGGAGCGTTTTGAGCTTTCGCCGTACAACAAGAAAGACTGGTTAAAAGATTCCAAAATGAAAGATAGAAAACAACAAGAAGAACTGATTAAAGTAACAACCATGTATGTGTTTTTTGTCATTTTTTGGATTAGTTTGAAAATAGTTAAATTTTTTTTAATTTAGGACTGATAAACGATCTGCTGAGCGAGAGCTTTTGTCAAATGTGGCGGAGATTACAATAAGAATTATGATGATTGATGAATTTCCGAAGCCTGAAGTAGACAAAGACCAATTAGTGGAATTAACAGAACAGCACAGCGCAGTAATTCATCGAGTTTTGCATTCACCACTAGATCAGGTATATTCAATAAATTTATTTGGCTTTACATCATTTCAACACTGAAATTTTAGGTGCATATTAATAAATTCAATCTTAGCCTTACAACTAAAGACTTGCACACCTTGATTGGCGAACGGTGGCTGAATGATAACGTAATTAATTTCTATATGAGTTTATTGACGGCGCGAAGTGAAAAAAAGAACAAGACGCACGGTCTTCCAACAGTCTATGAAATGAATACGTTTTTCATTCCCAACTTACTTACTCACGGGTTTAATGCTGTAAAACGATGGACCCGTAAAGTGGACATTTTTAAAAAAGATATAATATTAATTCCCGTTTTTGTAAACGGAGTGCATTGGTCCCTTGCAATAATTCATCTTAAGAATAAGTCTATAAAGTACTATGATTCAAAAGGGTTACCTAATTCAAAAGTGTTAAATGCATTGGAGGAGTACCTTAAGGAAGAGTCGCTTGATAAACAAAAAAAAAAGATGGATACCTCCGGATTCGTTATTGAATCAGAAGAAGATGCACCGCTACAGATAAATGACAATGACTGCGGTGTTTTCACCTGCATGTTCGCCGAGTTTATTACGCGTGATAAGGCAATCACTTTCAGCCAAGAACATATAGAATATTTCCGTCATAAAATGATTGTTGAAATTGTACAAGGGGAACTCTTGCAGTAAATTTAATTTGATAATTTCAAAAATATAGATTTACATATTTTCCATATATATACAATTTCAACCTAAGAATATAAGAAACTGCTAGAAATAATTAAGTATATTTATTTATTTAATTATTTTTTTTTAATTACTTTATTATTATTTAATTTTTACTTCAACATCTATATATGTCAGATGTATTTGGTATTTTTTATATAATTAAATAAAATTCAACATATGTATTTACATTGTATGAAATGCAATACAATGTACACTGTACTTCTGACATGTTTAGTTATAAAGTGTATAAAGTTAAAGAACACACTAAATAGTTCATTATTGAGTTGAGTGTTTAAATTTTTAATTACTAATTTTAAATACTTACAAATAAATTTTATAAATTTTATATGATTAATTTATTTTAAATTTCGTTAACAATATAATTTTATATAATTAATAATAATAAGAACTTGAACAGGTATTTAATAATTTTTATATTAAAATATAAAACAGAATTAGATATTAAACAATATGGTGTTTATTAATATACTTCATGATATCATTGCTAATATAGCTCATAGTACTGTCTTCACTACCGAATATATTAATACCGTATGCACTAACAACAACTATGGTTGGGCTACTGTTGGTGTTTACTCACCTCATATATTTGTTTGAGATCAGTATAAAATTTAATTCGAAATCAAATTTATAATAATTTGGAAGAACTTGTATATTGCATGTACACAAAGTCAATCATATATTTTACGAAAAATGTATACAAACGACTCTTCTTCGTGTCTGACTACCATTGAACACCCTTACCTCTCTATTTCCTCATTATCTAAAAAGAAACTAAATTTTGTACATATAAAAACGAAAAAATGCACTTCACTGATTGCTCTTTCGTCTCGATGCGGCAAAACGCATGAAGTAAATCAAAGACAATTCAGAAAATCGTCGCAATATAACTATCTCACTGTTTGAGATAGTACAAACACCATCTCATACGCACATTCAATAGCACTTTTGTATGTTTCGAGCACTTAAGATCATTGCGTTATACGCAGCTTTTGTGTGCATTAATTGTTCTACAATCGAAAGCTCATTGTGCTTTTAGTTGGCTACTCGAGCTGGCTACTATAAAATCAAAAGAAGTCATTTTTTGTTCTGCATTCGTAATCTGTTTATAATTTGTCTATGCCCATAGGTAGATCATTTTTCATTGGCTTTAAAGATAAAATGTTAAAGGGCACGAAATTAAAGCAAGGTCTTCTCCAGGGCAGCGCTCTCTAACCGATTCACCAGACCCTTCGAGGGAGTCAGAGTCATAATGTATGCAGATAGATGCACAATTCTAACTACGGGCCAGGACTCTTTTATATTGTGCAACAAGTTATATAACTGCGTATAAATATCGGTAAATTCAGGATCCCCACCACCTAAGTTCGTCTATACCTAATGTGTGCCTAAACTGCAGCTCTACTTAAACTCACCCAATCAGAACCTTATCCTCATTCTCTCTACATCACCCCCTACCACTACCCATCCACTTCCCCACCCATCTAATCGTCTTGTATATCCTTTCATGTTATCTGCTAAGAGGTCCCAGCGAGTTACAACAACAACAACTGAAAGTACATGTACGTGTGGCATGTTAGGAACTTATCGAAGCGAAACACTTCCATTGATTAAGAAAGTTGAATAGCATTTGTTTATTTAATCAGCAGGAACCAAGGAAACTTAAGGGAACTCTAAATTCATATTGAAAAAATTCATTTCGTACGCAATTGGACACAATATTATATTTTTTTTATTGATCTTTCATTGATTGTAATTAAAACTGTAAAAACACAAATTTAATTATAATGCAATATGAATTATAAGATTTGCACACTGAAAATAATGCTTTATGATCATCATCCGTTCAAGATGAGGAAGTATTATACGATATCAATTTGGAAGATGTATTTACATAGAAATTCTTCTTTTTAAATTTTTGATAATGTAATGTACTGTAAATAAATTAAATATTCTTAATTATGTTCTTATTTGGTATTTAAAACATCATAAAGTTTTATTTATTTTTAGCATTTATTTAGCGTTTTTTAGCATTTTTTTTAAAGCCGAAATAGTATTATATTTCTCAAGGATGTGGTCACACTGGGCTCAAGCTTAAATTTAAGTAAAATGTATTTAGGTATCTTTTTCTTCATATATTCAAATATAGATCACCGAATTGTTTATTTTACAACTTTTAAATTGTCTTTGAAACTACGTTACACTAAGTGTTGTGTTGGAAGCAGTTTAGTCCAAATTAGGAACTGTTTCTTGTATTAATGTATAAGATTAGAGGGCGTGATCAAACACCCAACAACTTCCAAATAATAAAAATGAAGACTATTAAAAGTAGCACTTCAACACAAATAACGATAGCAAAAATGTAAAAGTCATTAACAGCAAATACTACATATTAAAGTAAGCAATCAAAGGTATGCTTTCCAGAGACACTTAGTGAAATATCTAACCATACTCGTTGAGAATTATAAACTCGTTGAGAATTTAAACTCTGTTTTAAAAAATTTCATGTAGCTCTAAATGTATATTTATAATTCTCAGCAAGTGTAAATATATAAAATAAAAATCAATTAAAAAATTATTGCAGTTTCAACTGCAGTGTTTACATCAATTTTATATTTTCTTCTGACTCCATCTTAACTGAAAAACTGAATTTTACTGCCTGATTGGGTTACTTGCACTTGGTTGAAATGTATTTGAAACACTATTTCTCAAAAGATTTCTCAAAAGAAAAAAACTTCTTCATATATTGAAATTTATATATGAATTGAAGTATGCTTTAAATAATTTATAATTTAATGAAATAATTTATTCTAGAAAGGTATGAGATTTTATTTTTTTATTAAATTGTCAGCATTTTATTAAATGAATGAAGAAGCATGTAAATCGGAACTATCAATACACTCAAGTACACTCAATTTTAAAGCCAAAACAAAAAAAAAAAACAAACGATTGAGACGTACTTCACATATGTATCTGTATCTCATATGCACTCAAAAGACGGCTTAATCCATTTAGATTTGCAATGGGTGGTATAACATAGCAAAACAAATGGGTCAATGGGTCTTGTGGTAAATGAGAACAAAACAAAGTACTTTCTGTCGAAAAACAAATCTCCTGAGCGTCTTGGGAACCACGTCACTGATGACAATTATAAGTTCGATGTTGTGAAAGATTTTGTTTATTTAGGAACCAGCTTAAACAGCAAAAATGACGTCACGCTGGAGAATTACTTTTGTCAAAGAATCACTTTTGTCAACATTTGTTACTTCGGGCTAAGTAAGCTTTTGAGAAATAAAGCCCTCTCTTGACAAACAAAAATCACGCTCTACAAATCTCTTATCATGCCTATCCTGCTGTATGGTGTAGAAGCTTGGACAACTACCAACAGTAATGAGAAAACGTTAGAAGCATACGAGAGAAAAATTCTTCTGAAGATCTAGAGTTTAGCGACGAGCATCGAATTAGACATATAGTTAAGCGTATAAAAATTCAGCGGCTTCGCTTGTTTGGTCATGTTGTGTGAATGGAAGAAAATGCTCCGGCAAAAAAGATATTTATTTCGGTACTTGCAGTTGGAAAACGCGATAGAGGATATCCGCATCTTCGGTGAAAGAATCAGGTGATCAACGATATGTGGGCTGACTAGCGGAGGCTACCCGACGCGGGCATGGACGGGTCACGTCTGTAATGGTCAACTAACTAATTAAGGTATAACATATAGAATTTCTTCGTTTCTTGATTCTTGCAGCTTGATTTTAGTCACCCATTAAGCTTAACTTTCTTCTGTTTTTATAAGCAAATAGATTCAAACATCTTTTTTGTTTAATATGTTGTGTTAAGATGCACTTATCAGTAACGTTTCCGTGCTATAAATTGAATATAGAGAAGAGAAATGTGTTTTATAGTCAATAAAATATTACTGAACACATGAAGGTTGTATTCTCTTGCCGTCCACATAAAATATTTTATTAAAAAAAATTTTGTTAAAAAAAAAATATCGTTAGAAAAATAATAAATTTTAATTGGGTTGTGTGCAATATTTATTTTTGCTTCAATTAAGTCGCAGATATATACTGGGTCGGTCATACGTTTTCGAATGTATAAAATTTATTTGAGAGTTTCAAATTGATTTCAGGAAATTGCTGTTGCTGCCTGTATTAAATAAATGTGCTACATATTTTTTTTTATTAAATTACATACAACGTTAAGAATTCAGTTTTCAGTCAAAATTTTAGATACAACACGACGTTAGATAAGCGGGATTCAAGTATTTTTTTTGGTCTCTTGTCGTTGATGCTGCGAAATCTACGTACAATCCACAAATGCTGCTGACAATTGAGATAAGTAAAGGTGGTTGAATCATAGCTTTGAAGCAATTTTAGTGTATCTTATCAGTGCAGAGCTGAAACCAGTACAGAATCACGATCAGCTTAAGTAAATATCAATACTAAAATTGAGCAACGCAGCACAGTGACACCGCATTGAGATTTCATAAAGGTTTTCAAAATGTTACTAATTTAAGATTAAAATATTTATTTCTGTTCAAAAAAAATTCGCTTAAACAAACTGAATCTTTATCTTATCGTAGTAAAAAAAACAGAACAAAGATAAAACTACTTTAATTTTACTGCAGAAAAACAAGCAGCATCTCTATTGGTGTTTTCAGTCACAAACGAATTTTATAGTGCATAATGTAATTATTGAGAATCCGGTATCCGGTAACAAAATAGTTCATAAAAATCAGTTAATAATTAAAATATACGAAGGTGCGGAAAGGTTTTGCAAAGCTTGAATAAAACCATTTAAAGCAAAATGTGTATACCGAAAGTCGTAGAAGGAGTTTTTATACAACGTCTGGCGACAGTTTTCGGTAATTTATTTACGATTTCAATACGAATTTGTTGACCCAACACAATTATATATCTCTCATAGTTCTTTTTTTTTGTAAATCTTTTTGATATTTAGGTAGTTTGCTGTGCTTGAATTTTGGTGTCACATTTGGCATAACGCCAACACACACCCAACTCTACAGAAGCATTGAGACGCCACTTAATAGACCAATAAGTTACTCACAAGGTGCCTGGATTACCGGACATCTCTTCTTAACTGCTGCTTGTGGAGCGCTTATATCTGGATTTGCTGCACGTAAAATTGGCGCAAAAGCAGTGTTGCTCATTGCTGGTCTTCTACAGATTGTAAGTTTTTTGATTTAGCTATGACTCGTTCGCTATCCAGGTCATTTATCCATACAAAATTTTTTCGCAGACCGGCTGGTTTTGCATACATTTTGGCTATGATATCTTGCACATATATTCATCGCGCATGTTTGCCGGAGTGGCAGCTGGTGCGTCTTTTACTGTATTGCCCATATACATAAATGAAATATCGGAACCTGTAAATCGCGGACAATTAATGGTTACAATGGATGTTTTACGTGCGGTGGGCATTATTTTAGGCTTCCTATTCGGCATGTATATACCTTATGACTTCGTGAATATTGTGGGTTTAGGCATTTCATTTGCATTTGCTCTTGCATTCCCCTTTATGCAGGAGAGTCCATACTATTATCAACGTAATAATAATGTGTCTAATATGGAAAAATCGTTACGTTGGTTCCGTGGTATTAGGGATTTTGATATGCGTGAGAAGCCAGAATATTTACAAGAATTGGCCATTTTTAAAGGAGTAATACAGAACAAGAGAATCGCCGAGATGACTATGCCACGTGCTTACGTCCTTAAACTTTTCTTGTACGCTATTGTTCTTGCGATCGGTACGAATTTGAATGGTGCACTTCTCTTTCTCACTTACGCACCGGATATACTAGAAAAGACCGAAATACCACTCGATCACAATATATTAATATTAATTTTGGCTGCTATGCAAATTGTTGGTGCACTTCTAACGTATTTGATTGGCGAGAAAATTAATCGTAAGGTAAGTTAATGAAACTATGTTTGTTAAAGAAAAAGTATGATGATATATATCTTTGCTGGGCTATACAACATTTATGTAACTAAAAGCCTATAAATAGTCTGAAAAACTCAATATATAGAAATACTTGAACAATAACTTTATTATGCTAAATAAAAAAGCATTGTTTAAAAACTTAATAGTTTCATGAAGGACATTCCTTACAGTCCAGATCTCCTACTCTGACTTTCTTTATATACTGCATATGTCTTTTAAGATATTTTTGTAAAAGAAATTAATCATCCTTGTATTAAAGAATTATTTGAATTTATAACTCCATCTACAATTTTATAGTGTTGCTCGAAAAGTGATTTCTTCTCTTATTATCTTGGTGAAGTACTATATTATATATACTTATAAATTCTTACTTTTTTTATTTATGTAAATAATTTGATTTGTTTGGTCCGTGACAGCAAACTTTCAAATTTACCATTGAATTATTATATAGTAACATAAGAAACAACAACTCTCTCGACTTTCTCAACAAAAAGACATCCTATTTTTCTGACAAATATCGACCGATTATCGAAATATATAGATTCGGTTCATGTTTTTGTGCAATAATCTGCTGCTTTATACTTAGTTGTAGTGACAATTCGCCTCAAAAAAGCTAAAAACCAGAAGTCTGGAAAAACATTTTAAACAAGGCAGTGATAGAAAAAAAATTAACTTTAACGCAGTTAAATAAATCTATAAGATAATACACGAACCCAGACTTCATCTCCAATCTGGAGATTTTTTGAGTTTGCAGATAGCGCAGATGATTTTTAATTCCCCTCAGTTACATTAATTTTCTAGACCTATTTAAGGTGATGATTGTAGATATATAACCTACTGAGATAGTTTAAGTTGGACATTATCTGATTTTGGCAGGGCTTATTTAGATTAATCGCTTGTCTTTACTTCATTTAAGAATAATGTCAATGAATGATTCATTTTTTCCATAAAAGGAGTAAAGTAGAAACTAGAGATAATATTTACGACTTCAATGTACTGTGTTACTACGTTGCTGCTTGAAACTTTTAATCCAGTAACAAACCAGTGTCTATGAAGTTTCATAGTAAGGGGAACAAAATCGCTTTTTAGGAGATACTGGTTTCTTAAGATTGTGTTATTTTTTTTAATGAAACGTTACCAATTATTGTAATCCTCATCCGTAGAGTTAAGGATTAGGATGATCTGGATAAAATAATTTAAATTAAATTCACATTTTTTAAAGATGGTTCAATGTTATTCTAACCCTCAAATGTGAATAGTCTATCGATATTAAGAAGATACATGCTCTTCTTGGGTTTAAATATCGATATAACGAAATAATAATAATAATAATAAATAATTATTTAGCATTAATTACCGGAAGTGTGTTTAATTTTAATTATTAAAATGTTTATTTCTTTTAGATTTTACTTTGCATTACAGCATTTTTAAGTGGTTGTTGCTTGGTATCGGTGGCTGTGTTCCTCATATATGGCGATAATTGGCAAATAAACCCAATATATGCTCCTTGGCTACCATTTGGCTTGTTGGCTGCATTTATGGTATTCACAAATATGGGACTTTATCCGGTGACAACTACAATGACAATTGAACTTCTACCAGAGAGGGTAAGTTAGCAAAAGCAGATTAATAATTCCATACTAATTTCATTATTTCTATAGTTAAATTCAAAAATTTTAAGCATATCATCATCGATTTCCTGGTTTTTACTCTTTGGTGCGATTGAGGTACGTAATTTAAAAAAATCTAATGAATTTTATCTGCCTGAGATGTCACTGTCTTTTTTTTTTATTTAAATAATCTGCAGGCTTTTTATCCTATTACCAAACTATTTGGTTTCACAACTTGGATTTGGTTTTTCGTCGGGATCAGTTCTCTACTTGTACTGTTTTCGTTGTTTATACTACCGGAGACCCGTGGCAGGACAGCAGAAGAAATTCAACAGCAAATGGGTTATGTGAATAGTGGAAATGTAGCCAGAATCACAACGATTACGCATGGTCATGTCAGTCATGGTTATATTTAATTATGTTCATCCTATTGCATTTGTCATAAAATACTAGCGTCATTTTAAAGAGTTTGTTTGTAGAAGATATTTGTAAATTGACAATAAAACTTTAAAAAAAATAAGTTAACTTTGGCTTTGCCAAAGCCCAAAAAACCCTTCGCATAGAAATTGGAAGTGTTCAAAGTAAATTTTTTACTATTAATTTTATCTAATATATATATATATATATATTTTTTTTTAGAATATACTTTATAGAATATGTGTATTTTATAAATGACTTAAAATGCTTCATATGTAGTAATAGGTGGCATTATTTTAATCCATCTATCTCTGTTTACCTCTGTTTATTAGATAAGTTTTATCAAGCAGTAGTTTAATAATGGATTTTTTTAACAACTGACACTCTTTCCTAAAACCTGCTTACATCTAAAATTAGATTCCAAATGTAATTAGCACTCGATATTCTCAAAACAATGGTTCAAAGTAAGAAATTGATTAAATAAATAAAAAAAAATACAATTTTAAAGCAAAAAAATGGGTAAAAGATTTCACATAGGAATCTGTCCCAAGACATTCAATCATCCTTTTTTAGTACCCTGGACTTAAATGTGATCGCACATACTGTTACTCCGAAAAACATTAGGATTACATAAAATTCCTTCGAATCCCCATTGTTAAAAAGTATCATGTTTAAATATTTACAAAAATCTATATATAATCTATATAATATTATACATAAATATTTGATCATAAATCATAATGCCAAATACAGATTAGGTGCCCTGTTTATCCATACGCGGACTTTCATCATGAAATATGTATATATAATCGTAACACGGCTCCATGACAAACGGTAATATCCAAAGCACTCGACGTCAAATTAGGAAAATAATAGTACTATATCTTCTACAAAATTCACTGAATCTGCGGACGACAGAAACTGTTACCAAATTATATGCATTACACTCCGAATTGCTCCACACCTTCCGTACTCAGCAGTTATGAATCGGAGCGAAAACTAACTATAGATTTGAAAAACCTTTATGAAATGTAAAAAAATGTTTAGTGTTAAAAAAGTTACATAGCAGTTGCAAAAGTTTATATAGATAAATAAAACCAAATATTCTTCAAAAAACTTGAATTATACAAGTCCTGAATAATACACACTCCGATGTGAACAATTACAATGTTCTCTTAGAGCCCAGCTACTATCTTCAGCAGTTAACGGGTGCTGGGCTTTTCTCAATGGTTGGCTTAGGTTGCCACCGAGCAACTGGGAAGCATACGAGAATAAATGCTGCACTGGGAAATTCACTTATCAGGGCCTGGTGCAACCTGGGTAAATAAAGATTCTTGGCAGCTCACAAGATTTACTTATACCAAACTAGTAAATCAATCAGCTGCTTGGATGAAATACAATGATAATTGTGCTAAAAGTTGATTGCATATTAGGAAAATATACAATCATATTTGGCCTCAGCAAAGAAGAAGGCCACTGTACATCGTCTTAAGAATTAATATTCTTAGGGACACTTCTAAGTGACTAATCAGTTTGATTAGCTCTCACAATTTCCAGTTGTGATTTTTCAAACAGATTTCTCTCGTACGGTAGTTTCGTTAGTCTTCTACTTTTGATGGTAGTCGTTCAGATCATTCCGTAATAATGCAACGGAAAATTATATAAACTTTAGTTTCCTTTCTTATTGCATATATAGAAGTTGACCTATTGCGTCTAATCACAATAGTCGAATTACTAATAGTAATAAAATTTGAGAATAAATTATCTCACTCATTTGAATCTGGACTGTTCCAAATCATCTAATAAGAATTTGCGGCACTGTACATTTACAGTTTGAAATTTCATTTGCGATTATAACCACTCTCCGCATCCACTTGTCTGTGCTACGGACGTTATCACTACGATTATTTCTAGTTGTCGCTTTTTTCTCAATAGCTATTATAAGGATGCCATGACTTCTAGTAAATAATCAATTTTTATTATTTTATAGTTTTAATAGAAAATTATTAATTTAAATTCAGTGGAAACTATCTTCTGGTGACTTCTTGTAATATTCAGCCTTTAATGACTTTACTATATATTTTGAATGATATAATAGTACCATTATTTTTAAATCATTCTATGAGTATCAAATCAGAAAAGTTTTATCTCAAAGTTTGCTCTGCAAACTTACTATTCTGACATAAATTGCAAAGTATTATGTCGACCTGGTAGTAGGTGTTAATATGGAGTCATGCTAATAACAACGTCTTAGAGCCAATTCCTCTCCAATTCCTGATATCCTTTAAAAAATGATATCCATTAAAATATGCTCACATTTAGCACATTATAGTTTATGCTTTGGTCTGTACTTTATTTAGTAATTTAACTACTCATTGAAATGAACAAAGGGGTTATCATCAGAATCAACATTGAAAGATTTCAAAATTCATCTTAAAATGAAAAAAAAAAAACTTTTAAAAATTTATCAAGCCCAATCATATAATTTTGAATCAAGTAAAGTTTTGTCGACCATACAGTTATTTCTAATATCGTCAATTATTGATCATCGATGGTGCTTGGGGACATATGTATATTCAATTAGTTGTCTATACATAATTTCTGGAGTGCAAATGTCAGGAAGGTAGGCATTGGTGTTAACATACAAAACTAATATGTAGGTAAACTTATTACCATCACTATTTTTATTTTTTAAATTATTTAATTTAAAATCAAGGAAATAAATTATATCTAATATACTCGTACATATAAGGGGGAATTTTTTAATCCAAAAATAATTACTGCTGATCGGAAAATTATTCCATGTGACTTGAAAGAGGAAGCTCTTTCATTGTTAAATAAACACAATGTTATCATTAAAGACAGATAATATATATATACCATATATACATATATACATTTGATATATATTGTACATTATTATATAGTAAACTCCACAGAAAACAACAAACCAATAGTAAGGATTTTTAAATGTTTAATAATGTATTATAATATATATAATATATTATATATTATAATATATATGATATATTATATTTTATAATATATATAATATATTGTATAATATAATATATATTTCATGAATTTTATGATATTTTATAAAGTTGTGATGTCAATTGACAAAATCTAACTGTAACTGTAAATTATTTTAAGGAGTTCCATACATTATCTTCTGTTTCGAAACATAGCAAATTAGATTTCTATTGGAACCTATTACTTTCTCTGACAATCACAATAGTTTTAGGCAGAATTTGTAAAGTCATATAGTTTGGTTAGTCTTAGAAGTGAGTCACTTACACTTAGAAGTTGAAAAGGTTGGTTTAACATTGATTTGGTTTAGAACCGGTTCACATAAAAATAACATACAGACTAATATTAGTGTCTTATATTATTAAAAATGGTGCCTAGTTTTCTTTCATTTTAAAGCGTATTTTATTTTTAGTTCTTATTAATTTTTGATTCGATATGGCAAAGTTATTAGAAAATTTTATAATATATTGACTAGTCACAAGATCATTTAGCGGAATTCACAAGCTTATTTAAATATGTCTTTAGCAAAGGAGAGATTTTAGTATGAATCTATACTTCTTCATATTTCCTTGTTTATAAATTGTACTTGTGAGTATCTCTGTAAATATACCTCAGATTATAATTAACATAGCACAATTTAAATTTAACATTTAGATAATAATGAATTACTTAACTTTTATCTAATCCACTTATCTAAATCTGATGGCACTAAAGTTTTGGGAGAGGTACATTTTCAGAAGCATGAAAAATAATTTTGAGAAAGTTAGTTGAGTTTACAGTGTTACTTAAACGTGATTAAATTGATTTACAATAGGTAAAGATAAATTCTTTCTGATTACATATATAAACAATGCACAATATAGTTAATTGCTGACTTAATTATATACATTATATACAATCTAAGTCCCGAAGTAACAGGTGAAGAGATAAAGAGGCGTGAAGGCATAACAACGGCTATGCGCAGAATGCTTTGCATGGAGATTCAAACAAGATAACTATATCAAAAATTAAATACTATAACATCATATATATTGTTTTAATACTATTTTTTTAATGTTAAAGTAAATTATTTTAAAAACATTAAATATTTTTTAATCTTGTACGCATTTCAAAGTCAGTCGAGAATTCAATGCAAATAGTTCGTTCGAGAAGGAGAAAATATTGCAATAAATTTCAGATAGTTTTAATAATTGATATGAGAAAAATAAAGTGCAGAAAAATATAAAATTTAAATTTTAAAAATTGCAACGGAAATTTAAAGATACAAACGATTTTTTTTTAAAAGCCGCGCGAAGATATCAGTGAAAAAATGGGCGTTGATGGAGATACAAAATATCAATACTTAGCGGGCCTGTGTGGTTAGTGCGACATGAGTGATTTAAATTTTATCTGATTTTTTTTTAATTTTTTATAATTACATAATTTCTAACTTGAAGACATAAGCTAATTACACCTGCGATACACTTTGAGGTTAGATCTATTTACGATAATACATATATATGCGGATTTTTGAATGATTTGTAGATTTATCAAGAAAGCTTTCCCATATATATTGTTTCAAAAGTATATTTAAAAATATTTAACTCGAGGGTTAATACTTAATATAATATTTAAAAAAATTTATTAATTTTTTTTTTTTTTGCTTACAACAAATAGTATAAAGATATATCCTTTGATACATACAACGAAAGTTCAAAGAAGAAACTTTCTAAAAAGAAAGAATATAAGAAAAGTTTAGTCGACCCCAACAGACTTAATCAAAAAAATTAATTTAAGAAACCTATTTTTATTATCTGTATAAATAGTGTTTTGTTATATACAAGGCAACCGGCTTCAAAAAATTACAGCATATAAATGTCGGTGCTTAATAAATATACATACATACACTAAATCAAACAAATATTTGAAAAAGTTGCCTTATTTAATTTATCTCATTTTTTTTGATCATATCCATAGAAGTAAATATTATCGATACTAACGAGACACTGGTCTATATGACGATATAAAGTCAGTTGTCAGTCAGTATCTTCTTTTATATTTGTCTACCGGCGCGGAGAAGGAGAAAGTGGAACTTATGCAGAACTAGGCTTAAATTTCTGGGCATATGTATTGGTTTATTACTTACATTTAGCAATAATCAAAGAGGAATATGGAATCAAAGTGGCTTTCTTTGAAAATTGAGAAAAATTTGATCCCGTCTTTACTTAACCTACCAACCTACCGTGTTATATATATTCAACCGTATTATAATAAAACAATGTGAATATTTTGTATCCGGACCTTAACTTGTTTTAAAACCTGATTCACTTAAATACCTAAAAATTAATTGGCTTTAGACTTAAAAAATTTGTTTACAATCAATTAATTAAGCAAGCAGATGATCATAGAGAGGCAAGTACACATCATTTTTTTCCTTAATTAATTGGAATATTAAAAATAATAAAAATAATAATAATAACATAATAAAAGCCAATAATGATAGAATACAGAATTATATGAACCATATTATTTATAGTATATATAGTATATATTGCCTTTAACGGTATTATATTTTGTCAAAATGAATTTTTCCATTAGTAGGATTTTTTTCGATTAGAAAATGCTTTTTTATATATTATTATTAATTTCTTTGACTTTAAATTAAATAATTGATAAAAATGCTTTACGTACTTATTAGTTTTTTGTGTTAACAGCGCTTCCCGGTTCAGATTTGGCAGGGTTTAATTCCTGACATGTACAGTCCAAAACCTATGTATAGACAATAAATTGAATGAATGTTTCCAAATTCCACTGATGAATAATTGACGGTATTTGAAATAGATGTATGGTAAACAAGTTTACCTGATTAAAAATCAAATTCTTGGATCTATTAAATTTTTAAAAGATTCTATTTTAAGACGAATTTTAAAATCTTTCACTGTTGATTCTGATGACAGACCCGCTGATTATTTTAAAGAGTAATTCACTTACTGTGTTTAGGTACATACCACTGAGTAAACTATAGTGTGCTTAATGATTATCAATTTTAATGAATATCATGTTTTTGATGTAATCATTCTGTATTAGCTTTATTTTCCTGTTTTCCATAACACGACTTAGTCATTATATAATTACTTTATACATTAGCATAATAATCTATAAATAGTGTGTAATGTATTATCCTAGGCTTTCTTAAAGTCTATATGCCCCACGCTCAAATTTTTCCTTTTACGTTTTGTCTGTTCTATTATAGATGCCATATATATAACATCGGCATTTGTTGGTTTATCTTCACATACCAATATCCACAGTAATAATAAGAAGCTGTTTTTAGAAATAAATCTCGTTATACATCTATTTAAATTAGAAAAACCACACCATTCTATTGTGTGGTTCTATAGAACCACTATTGTTCTATTAACCACACCATATTGTGTTTTTTTTGGTTGACAAAAAAACTTTTCCTTGCCATATCCCTGATCTAGTAAATAAAAAAGAAATCGTTGAAGCTTAATGAGTGTTCATTATAAATTATGACTTTAGCGTGTAGGTTGTACCGGCGATCCCTAGGGATCCACTTAGACTTATAGGCCCACTGTGCTACGGTATTATTAAAAAACCCAAAGGTTATACAGGTATTTAAATAAATTCATATGCAGTGCAATTTTATACACACAATTATTTCTATATATATATATATATATATATATATATATATATATATATATATTATATTATATATATATATTATATAAATTATTTACTTATTAATGCTATAACTATTTGTTTTTTACAGTCAATATTATAGCAATAGCGAATGGTGCTTTTTGTGGTTGGCCATCAGCATCATTTCTGGAATTGCAAGCAGCGGACAGTCCCTTAGAAACAGGTCCCATGACAAATAATGAAGCTGGTTGGGTAGGTGCCATGTTTTGTGTGGGTGGGCTGTTAGGTACAGTCATATTTGCTTGGGCTGCGGATAAAGTAGGACGTAAACGTTCTTTGTTGTTAACAGCGGTACCCTCTTTGGTAAATTTAAGATATTGTTAACTTGTAATTACAACTACAACTACTTCTTTCCAACTTTTTCACAGATTGGTTGGGTTATAATACCCTTCGCAGTAAATCCTACACATTTAGCTATATCCAGGCTTTTTGGTGGTTTAACAAGTGGTGGAATATTTGCTGTCATTCCCATTTACATCACAGAACTGGCGGAGGATAAGTAAGTCTATTATAAGTCACATATATTTTAGAAAAAATTTGACTTTTCCAATCAAAAATGATGTGTTTTTAGAATTCGCGGTATTTTGGGTACTTTCCTAGTCTTTAGTTGCAATGCTGGAGTCTTGATTGCTTTTGTAGTTGGATATTATTTGAACTACATACAAACTGCTTGGTCAATGTCAATCTTAACTGTATTATTTCTTATATCTTTTGTCTTTTTCCCAGAGACACCAGCGTATCTTATGAATCTAAGTAAAGTAGAGGTAAGCACCAAGTATGTAAAATGAAACCCATAATAAAAGTAATTATTCTCTATTTCAATAAAAAAAATTTAGAAAGCAGAACAGTCATTACGATATTTTCGAAATCTTCGTAGTGCCAATGCAGACACAAAGGAGGAACTGAAATTTGAATTGGAAAAACTGCATAAAATCGAAAAACCAGAGAAGGAAGAAAGTGAGGCTATCACATGGCATGATTTTAGTAGGTCTTTTTTCAATAGAAAAAAAAAAAATTTAATTGAAATTTATTTATATTGTATATATATAATTTAGCTAATCATACCGCGCGCAAAGCATTTTTGATAGGTTTTGCTTTAATGGCTCTTAATCAGTTATGTGGTTGCTTTGCTATGATCAACTATACGGCCAGCATATTCAAACAGGCTGGTTCCAATTTAACACCAAAATTCTCTGCAATCGTTGTTGGAGTCATACAACTTTTTGGTTCTTATATGTCAACGGTGCTAGTAGAACGAGCAGGGCGTAAGGTAAAGTTTACTTAACTTAGCTATCCTAAACACATTCATTTAATATACTTTATATTTTTCTAGTTATTATTGATCATATCAGCTGTGGGCACAGGCTTGGGCCACGTTTGTTTAGGTAGTTACAGTTATCTAAATATGTTGGGTTATGATACACAGGCCTACAATTGGATACCAGTAGCTAGTTTTTCTTTCATTATCTTTATTGCATGTTGGGGTGTACTAACATTGCCATTTTTGGTGGTCTCTGAAATATTGCCTCCTAAAATACGTAACATGGGCAATATGATATGTATGGTGGTATTGTGGATTATATGTTTCTTCATTTTAAAGGTAAGTTTTATTATGAGAATATAATCAATTGTATTTGAAATATTTTTAATTATATATATAGTACTTACCAACAATGAGCGAAGTAATGGGAATGCATGGTATGATGCTGTTCTTTGGTAGTAGCTGTTTTATCGGTGCTGCTTTCATAATAATATATGTACCAGAAACCAAAGGAAAAAGCATCGAAACAATTCTATCAATGTTGTAATACCATGATTTAATCAAATGGTGGTATTTTATTCTCAGACTTTTATAAAGATTTTCATATGATTTTTAATAATATAAGGATATTCAAATTAAAAATAATAATTAATAAAAATTAACTTTGGCTTTGCCGAAGTTGAAGTACACATAAAATCCACGTTCAGAATGTTTTTATAATGTGTAAAATTAAAAATTTAAAATTTATTCCTAATCTTTAGAAACCGTTCAATCTAATTTCTTTCTTCTTCCAGTAGTGTAAGGCAGTTATCAAAAGAATTAGACGATAACACTGTAACGACACGGATTTTTCGGTTCGTTATAATTTTTGCTGAGGTAAAGACTGAGGTCTTTGTTAAGAGTCATTGCAATAAATTTGTATTCGCACAAACCAGACTTCTCAAATAAAAAAAAATAAGTTATGTTCAATTTTACAGAATTATTTAAAATTTCATTAAAATATTATATATATAAGAAAAAAAAAATTAATTAGAGAAAATCGAAATGAACGGGAAATTGTTTCTTTGGTTCTGATGACATGCTGGCAGTGAAGGTTGATTCTTTAAAATTCTCGATTGTCTTTAATCTGGTCTTATAGTTTGGACGTGGTCTTATATTAAGTGAACAAATAACACTCGGTAAAATAAATTCGACTCCACTATTTATTAAAAAAAATTGATAATATTTGAGTACACCTCTAACATACTAAATTTATTAAGGGAATACAATACTTATCTTACAAGTCACAAATTGAAACATTTTAACAATAAATTGCTTTAGAGTGCAATATAAAGATATAATTGTTATATTATAATTATTATTAAATTTAATTATCGATTTTGTTGTGTTTTATTATGAGAATACCAAGCCCTACGTACAACTTTGTTGAGTCGAAGCTTTGTTGTGCAGTTTTAATGCAGTCAGCGTAAAGCTCAGACCTTGCACTATCTGACTACCATTTATTTTTCGACCCGTGAGCCGCTTGACCAATCACTTGACCAAGTTTTTTTGTCGATAAACTACAGAAGTTCTACACTGATTGAATCATGAAGGTCATTAATACTACAAACCCTTATAAATTATATCACAATTAAATCTGAATAAAGAAAACGGTGAATACTTTTTATACCGCCTAATATATAATTCGTGAGTATGTGAGATAAATCAGTACTCTTATGGCTTTTTGGTTAAAAAAATAAAACAAATATTCGATTGTTAATTATATATAATGTATTTCTTTTTTGACAAAGCTATAAATAGACCACTTAAGGGACTGAAAGACTATGGAGTGCACAGTTTGTCACAAAGAGTAATTAAAAATTTTCCCAATATAAAAAAATATTAATATATAAAACGAATAAATATATAACATACATAAAATTTTGAGATATATAAGATTTCAAAAAAAAATATATATTTTTTTTAAAAGATCCTTTGATATTATTATCATTTCCTAGTTCATTTAGGCTGATACGATCTTTAAGTCATTTAGACGAGGTATTTTTGAGATTTTTAATTGAATTTTGTTTAGCTGGTCATTTTTTTTTATATCTCGTATCTTGGTGAATATTGAAAATAATTTTACAAAACCTCTGGGTGTTGAATTTCGTTTAGAAAACATGTTTTGCATAGGGCTAGCATATATATTATAGCCAGAAAAACTCACAGTCATTGTTATGTTAACTGTTATACTCGTATCCAGTTGGATGAAGATTTCAGTTTATAGGGTTTTATATATATTACTATCGCACTATTTGTGGAAAGAATATAAGAAATCGTTAACAATTGAATTATTTTGATTCTCGGCGCGATACTTATTACTTCAATAATATAATAAAAATATTAAAAAATTAAATAATTATTATATCTACATTTATACATATATTTGTTTTAATATAAATTCAAACACTATAAACAATACACAATAAATAAAGGATAGAGCCCTGAAATTATTTGCGAAATCTGACAGACTTACCAACACTGCGTTATCAAATCTCAGAATGGTTACAGGATCCTCGGGGAGGTGTGCAGATCTGAGATCAATTATTGCTTAGTCTGATGAAGTGATAAACAATAATCTAGTCAAGGGGCAAAGAGGGGTTTTGAAGAATCTCGCAGTTAATAAAGAGAAAAAGTGCTCAGGTGCACTGACTCAACTAGCCTCAACATAATAATACTTTCTTTCAAAATATAATAAAAATACTAAATAAATATTAAAAACATTAATTAATTAAATGATTATACATACATTTATACATATATTTGTTTTTATATACGTTTAACAAAGTGGAGTCCACTTGAAAAATTACACGTAATTCTTCCAAGCTCTCATTCGGTTAATGTCAATCTAATCTGCTTTGCTGACGACTATATAATTTTTATGAGTTCTTTCAATTACAATAATTTATCTCCTATCAGAGGGCCCTTTTTTGGTTTTACTTCACGTGGAAAATTAAGCACAATTCCTCTAAGATCTCTGCCATTGCTCTTACTATTCGATTGGTTACCTTTTGCTCAAAAAGTATTTGTTGTTTGTTAACTACTCCTTAAGTAATAGATCTTTTTCAAAAATTTTTTTTCTTATGTTGGTACAGCCTTTCTTGACATATGGTACAAATTTGAGCGTCATCTGTCAATTAGTTTGTTTACAGCAGCTGGTAATGTGAAACTACCTCAATTGCATTTAGCGATTTTTACTATTGAAAATTCTTGTTGTACGCGATTTTTTGATTAAACACGGAACCAATGTCATCGCTCAGGCTCCATTTTCGCCAGATCTGGATTCGTGCGACTTTTTCCTGTTCTCGAAACTCAAATTGCCCCTTCGTGGTAAGCGTTTTGAGTCAATTGAATCGGTAAAAGAGAATTCGTTGAAGGAACTAAAAGCCATACCTGCACGGGCCTACGAAAAGTGTATGGAAGATTGGGTTAAGCCTTGGCATATGTGTATCGCTTCAGAAGGAGCATATTTTAAAGGAGATAAAATAAATTTGGAATAAAATTTAAATTTGTGTGTTTTATTTACAAAATCTGAGTACTTTTTGAGCAGAAACTACATTAGGAGTTGCATTTTTATAAAAGATATAAACAACATTTGGTATATAAAAATTTTTGTCATAGAAGACAGATTTTTGTATCTTTGGTTAATAGTTGAAATAGATTTGTAGTATAGTGTACTTGCTTGACACTCTATCATCAACAAGAATATATGTTAAGATCTATTGAAATGCTAAACTCAATAGGTTGGATTTAGTTAACCTATATGCTCACTAATTGTAAGAAACGGAAATATATCTGCTGATCAGTCACTACAACCAATCAACCAACTAAAATATTTAAACAAAATCATATGAATTTATGTAACTTTGTCTTTTGAAAACTATTTAATTATGAGAATTTTAATACAATTTATCGGGAGTTGTCTGTATTTCTATATTTTATTTACACACTAAATTAAAAGAAAAATTCTAGAAAATATTTATGTAAAAATGTTAAGTTAAATGAAACAAAATGATTTGAAAAAAAACAACGTACTCGTAACTTATATATCCATAAATGTAAATATGTAAATATATATATATATGTATATAGCATGAAATTTGATTTATATAGAATTGCAAGTTGTGTTATCGTGAAAATGTTTGGTGTGAACAAAAATTTCGAAACAATATCGGAATTAAAACAAAAAAAATTAATTTTGTATAGAAATTACAAATTATATTAAACTGAGAATGCAAGCCGAGCTCTTTTTGTTGCTCTTTTATATAAAATTATTTAACAAATAATTTATATTTCTGTTATATTTTCATTTCATTTTCAGTTTTTGTTTTATATATAATTTTTTAAATTTTGCATTAAATCATTACTGCAATAATTTTCTTCGCTTTAGTTTCCCGCATGCCGCCAGAGGCATGAGAAGTTATTTAGCCACTAAAATTAATTTAAACATTTTGATGAAGTAATTATAGTAAATGAAGTGAAAAAATATAAATATTTAATTTTACATACAATAGTTAATTTAACAGACATTATAATGGTTCAAAAATTCAACTTATGGACAGCTATCGGCAACAGCAACACAATTTTAAACAGAAAATTCCAAATTCAACTCCTTGTAACAATAGCAGGTGACTCTATTGAAACTGCCAATAAGAAAAATCATATATATATCACAGGGTCCTTGATTATTTCTAATGGAACTTTATCATTTTTATAGTGAACATTATAACTTTCTCGCATGGCGTGGGTGTAGGTTGGCTTTCGCCGACACTGGTAAAGCTGCAGTCCAATGATTCGCCACTGGATTTTGATATCAACATTGAAGAAGCATCATGGATGGGTTCACTTATTGGACCAGGCGGCCTATTGGGCAATTTAATATTTGGTGCAATAATAGATAAAGTTGGACGCAAAATTTGTATTTATATGATTGCAGTACCACACATAGTAAGTATGTTGTAAAAAAATATCAATTTTGTGGATTCGATTTTCATGGACCATTTAATAGACGTATATCAAGCTTAACTATCGTCTAAGACATTGTATATTTAGTTCATGGTGTTTCATTAAATAAATAAAATCTCATAAATAAAATTATGAGAATTAATATTTAAAATGGTGATCATATAGTAGATACACTTCGTAACGAATTTTCTTTATAGTTGAGACTAATTTTTTAATTACTGGAAATGCTAACTTACAAAATTATCACCTCGGGCAGTGAAGTAGTGAAAATTTACAAGCAATTGTCGAAAGAGCAATGCATTCATAAAAAGCCACAATATATTGTGATATTTGTTTTGGAGTTGTGATGGACCCATATTTCATCGAAAATGATTGAACTATGACACAAACCATTGATTCTCATTGCTATAAACACATGATTATCTATAGATAGACTACATCTAGACTACAAAACATACACCATTTTGGTACTGTTTTACGAGAAATCCGCGGATATAAACTTTCATGATTTTCTTAATATGAATTGGACCCTCATCCCATTTTTCATAACTGGAATTATTTTGTAGAGTTTTACAAAAGAACGTGTTAATGCGGATAATCCTCAAATTCTCGATATAAACTGATATCTAAGCTATTGCCAGCTATGTACTGCTGAGTCGACAAATAATCTAAAATTATGTACAAAGATAAAGTGTTAAGTTCTGTGAAAAATATTTGAATATTTAATAATTTACTAAAACAAAATTTCATGGACATCTCAAGTATTAATTTGTCTTACCTTTCGCTACTGGCGCAACACTTTAGCTTATCGTTAGGTCAAAAAAACTGATACATCCGTTTAACTACGTTAGGGTGCCTCTCTTCAATACAATGATATTGGCGTTGTTGACACGTTATTGTGTGTATATGAAGAATAAAATGACGTCACTGCGGATAAGACCTTTTGTCAAAGGTCTTATTCTCTAAAGTTCTCTGAAGTTCCTACCCTCATCTGAAATTAAAATGCGCTCAATAGCATAAATGTTGACATTCATTGCAAAATCGGATTGTGTTTTCTTCATGTAGTATCGATAAGTAATACAAACGATCAATCATGGTCGTTCTGTTCCGCTTCCTGAGAGCCTGTATCCCATTTATATTCGTCCCTTCTATTTTCTACCTTCCATTTACTTTTGAGATATATATTTTCATAAATTTTTTTTTTAATTAAACTAAATAGTTTTAAAATTAATTATTTTTTTTTTATGCAAATTGCAGTTTCTTTGGATTTTTATTTACTTTGCTAAGAGTGTGGAATATCTTTACGTGGCACGTTTTCTGGGTGGATTTACAGGTGGCTCAGCTTATGTCGTCCTACCAATATTTATAAGTGAAATTGCTGACCCCAGGTAAACAATAATGAAAGTCAATTAAAATATCTATATATTGATACAGAGTATGAGTGAGATTAAAAGAATTCACCAAAAGTAAAAGAATTTATTTTAGATTCTATGGACAATAGATCCATATAAGCTATACATCTGAGAAAATTTATTAACTGGTATGTATTTCAAAATAATAGGTCAATTATTCGACTAGCTATTAAGAAGTGTCATTTTAACTAAAGAAGTTAGTTACTGTCTTTTCGAAGTCTAAATAGTCATATTCGATATCTAAAATTTTTCGGCTTTGAATTATACATTATAAAATCACTAAATTTTAATTTAATCTAATTGGTAAAATTTTGACAGTACTTCATAAACTCAGTTAAACAGATCTTTGTATGTATATATATAAAGAAATTAATATATTTAGTTTTGTTAGAGCATGTATCTCAAGTACAGTCTATCTGGCAACTATGTTACGTTAATCCAATGCAACAGTGCTTAGTGTGATAATAAGTATTTAAGTACTTCATTTATAAATCAACACTAAATGCCTATAACTAATGTAGAAATTCTAAATAATTCATGCAATACAAAATATGTATAAAAACGCGGTGGAGGGCGTTTTTTTGGAGAAAGCGTCTATTAGACAGACTTGTATCGAAATTTGGAAAGATTTTTACTTCAGATGGAATAATTTCAAATCTATTAGTTCAAACCCATAAAATATAAACAACACGTGAAAAGTTTATAGCAACATACAAGTCAAGCCTCTATATAGATGAATTCTTTTACAATACTTAGGGTTGCATCCTGTTAAAAGCAGTTTCAATAACATTCTAACAATATAATTACATTTTATTATATATTATTAATTTATACCACATTTCTTCACTCTCGAAAAAATCAAAATGCAAAGATGGAAATTTAACTTGTTCAGGTTAGCTTGGAAGATCTTCGGTACTATTGTCTCTTCTTATAATTATAATATATAGTTGGCCTCACGTTTCTCTTTAGTACAAGTTTTTAACCGAGCTGGTTATTTAAGTGATGACGTTATTTAATAGCTCCGATAAATCCATATTACGTACTTCACTCATAACTTCCTTTTCCCCGGTGAATTATGCCATGAATTTTTATATTCAATTGCCTTCAAATTTTCGCTACTCAAAATATATATTAATAGCACAGAAATATATATACTCGTATATCAAAGATGTGCCTACAAAACTAATGCAAAAAAATCTCCAACCATATGAAGAAATACGTGAAAATATGTGACTTTTGTGTGATTATCGTAGATGCAGTTTACTAATCATATAATATGTGTCATTTAGTAATATAATTCATCATTTATGTATAGTTGTGCACAATATTTTTTATTCATAATATTTATATATAACACATGGTATATACGTATTATATTATATACTCGTGTTTTGTACGTAAGCATGCATGACAAAATTGAAATGTTATTTTAAATAATAATGGAACAGCTGCAGTACTAATTAAAAATATTTAAGAGATATAGAAAGAAAGCAAAACTTTCTACTAATTTTTAAATAATATGTGTTTGTACTATATATCATATCAAATCGTAAACATATTTATGTAAAAAAATCCACAAATGACGTCCGTTTGTTGCAATAATCTGGTTAAAGTCAGGAATTATCAACATAATTAATTAATTATCACTAATTATTATTTATTAAAATAATATATATCGATAAACTACTTCTTAATAATTTAAATTGATTATTATATTTAATATATACTTATATATATATAAGTACATATTTACCCAGCACCCGGTTTAAACCATTCTACCTGTATCTACCTGGATATTTACGTTCCAACCACAGCCAGCATGATACTCCCATTAAATGGGTCAACCTCAATTGATCAGATCAACCTAAGCTGTTAGCTCTGACTCCGTAGTACTAGATTTATACCTCTGAACGAGTGCAACACACTTCCATTTCTATTCCAAATAATATCGAATGGTACGTACTCGATTTAAGTCACCTCTTACGACAGGCATGCCTTACAGACAGAAGAAAATGAAACATTATTTAATTTTGTGGAATTAAAATCAACCAACTTCTGAGGTTCCCATAGTTCGTATCAAATCGTTCTGGCCACACACAAACAACAGACAATCAGTTGGTCATCAGGACATGGCAATAAAACATTATTCTCCATTAACTATAATACAATAATTTCAATGCTATTTCAATGCCTTTTTGCGAAAGTTCAGAAATAGATCTTTGTTCCTGGATCACTCTTTGAGGTTTCTTTGAGGTTTGCAATAATTTCAGACAGTTTTGAGGTCATTCAAAATTTGTATAATTTATAGTACGGAATCTTTTCATTGTAGAAGATCACATTTATTTTTCATCATTTACAGTCATTTTATATATTGTTTAGGAGCTTGTCTTTTATTCAAGTAATACATAACATGATACTTATGAGTTTTAATAATATGAGTTTCTGATCACATAACATATTACTTAAAGGTGGTAAACTCCAGTGAAAAAAAAATAAGTACCCATTAATAAACGTATTAATTATTTATTAATGGAGGCAATAACTAGAAAATTTCTTACAAATTTTAAAAACCAATGTGAACTTCACTAACAATATATATGTATATGATATTAAATCTACATGGTTTATAATATTTATTATAATTTCAAATATTTTACCATACTTCTCCAGCTTCAAAAACAATTTAATTCAAGCAGTTTTTTAACCATATATTCAGTTTAGTTGCTTTTCTCGACCATCTTAGGCCTTTTTTCGGCTAGAATCATTATATCTTTATTGTAAGATTTTTTGGGATCAGTCCATTTTTGGGATCAGTTTTATACCAACAAGACTTCTTGCATGAATCGGAACAAAAGTTATTCTGGGGGCGTACTTAAACATTTACCAACTGATCCGTTAATTTTGGCCGAGTCGCTACAGATATATATGTGGTCTCTTATTGCTCTGATGAATTAAACTATCCAGCTTCTCTTTTTCAATTCGTTGCTTTAGCTAAATTGACTACTGCCAGTGGATGTCACTGTATTACTTCAATGATATATAAGTTAATAATAAAATTTGATGTGTTAAAAATTGTGTGTTCTTAGCACGATAGCGAAAGTAAAAGTAATCGAGCACATTTTTGTGAATTTGAGAGCTACCAAATCCAAACGGAACTTTTCCAGAAAAACAAGTTGATGTCCCGTTTGGCAACAATCATGCGTTCCAATAATATCGCATGATTCTGCCCTTAATGAAGCGCAGGGGCCAGATGCAAGAGGCTGCGGGTCTTAATTTATATGCTTCAATACAATTCTGTCTACGCCCCTGATTTGTGTTTGTATCGATCATATTTTAACTGCTCGAACATCGTTGTGATCGGACATTTTGACTCATTTGTTATTGATATGAAAATTTGGTTTTTCTTAAGCATATAGCAATTTACAGAAATAAACAATAAAAGAATGTAATAATAATATAATTAAAAATGTCACTTTAAAAATTATTTTTTACTTCTAGCATTCGAGGTACATTAGCTTCTATGTTAATGTTATCGCTTAATTTCGGTGTATTACTTGGATTTATCTTATCAACCCATCTAGCATATCATCTAATTCCGTTCATAGTAATTTTTTTACCATTGGTTTATCTAGTGACAGCAATATTTTTTCCTGAAACTCCACAGCATTTACTAAGAAAATCTAATTATATAGCGGCAGAGAAATCGTTTAATTTCTATAAACATTATGGTAAGAGGGATGAGACCAATGTAGAATGCCAAAAGCAGTTAAATGAATTCAATGATTTGAAAACCATAGTGATTAACAAAAAATCAGATACAAAATTAACTTTTAAGGATTTCAGTAAGTACTTCATAATAATATAAATTTCCCTCATTTTATTCCTTAACTTCCTATACTTAGTTACAAAATCTGCTCTAAAATCTTTTTGCACCGCGGCGGTCTTATTGATTGCAACTCAAGGAAGTGGTTCCTTTGCATTTATAAATTATATGACACACATTTTCGCTGCATCTGGTACAAATTTGTCCCCGAATACATCAACTATAATTATGGGTGTAGTGCAAATATTTGGTGTTTATGCGGCAATACTCTTTGTGGATCGTTGCGGTCGTAAGGTACTTCTGCTGATATCAACAGGCGGCATGTCTATTGGCTTAACTATATTTGGACTATTCACATATTTTAAACCGATAGATAATGATTGGATACCAGTTGCAGTAATGGGTTTCGTTATATTTATAGCGAATATTGGAGTTGTGACAATGACTTTTGTCATGTTAGTAGAGTTAATGCCTCTTAAGGTAATAGCTTAAGAAATTCTAATTTACTATAATATAATTTTAAAAACTTTTTACAGATACGTTCGATTGCTACTTCCTTTTGCATGGCTGTACTTAGTGTGTTAGTATTTATTGCACTCAAAGCATTTCCGGTTTTAATGAATATTTGGGGCATTTCCATTGTTATGTGGTCCTGTGCTGCAGTCAGTTTTGTTTGTCTTATCTATTTAAGTATACTCTTGCCTGAAACCAAAGGTAAACCCATGGATGCTGAGTAAACACATATTAAATTTAAGTGATATATAATTAATTTTATTTAATTTATTTAATTGTTAAAGTGTTCTTGTGATATTTTATCAAAGATTTCAAATAAAAATATATTCGTGTAATGGGAATACCAAAAAATTTTGGTAAAAGTAGTAAACTGTTTAAAATATATTATAATATATCTTATAATAGATTACTATTTATATATATAATAAAATACATATGTTTATCTGTATAAATAAACAGTAAATAAGGTGTGTAAAGAATCCTCTATTACTCGAAGCCACAATCATTAGCCCTTGTCTCATGCCATTCTGTAAAACAAAATTATGCATTATTCTAATAATTAATTAACAATTAATAATTAATTAATAATTATTAATTTCTACTAAAATACTTCATATCACTTCACTTACTTCCATTTGATAAACAATTCTCCATTTCGAAAACGCAACTGTTACCGAAAATTTGATTTATCCTACCATCAGTGGCACATATCGGTTCATATATGAAAAGACAGGCACGTAAACATTTCTGAGTTATGAAAGGCTCAACATCAGGCAGACAAAAAGACATTTGCGTCGGGCTCCAAACTGAAATTTTATTTTACATATTATAAAAATTGGATTAAGTACATTAAACCACTTATACCTGTACCCGACTGGCAGACTTCATAATTCATCAGGCATTCGTTGTGAAAATATTTATAGCTCTGTTCAGTTCCATTCATGGCACATATTGGATCAAAAATCTTAGGACATGCACTTTGACATGGTTGCTCTGTTACTGTTGCTCCATTAGTGTATGTCAGCAATACGAAGACTCCAACCACGACTTTTATTATTAAACCCATATCGTTTAATGTTTCTCTTCAGGTACTATAAATATGACTGCATTGCATTTCTTTCCGCATATAATTTATACCTTCCAATTATCTCTTGATTTTTATCTTAAGTCGAAAACTTTTTTACTTCCGTTTTTTCATTTACAACTCTCTCTTTAGCTTCTATTAAAAAATTTCTTTATGTTTATAATCTTTTATTTGCGTAGATCTCATCTGATAAGTGGTTTCGATATTTTAGAGATATCGAAAAATCGATAGGTATTGTATATATTATAGCGTCGTATGTTTTTCGTTGCTCATATTTTACGTTGTTTAAACTAATTTAATAAATATCATTACTTTAATTATAAGATTACGCAATTGTTGATAAATCAATATTTACCAACTTTTAAATATTTAACCATCTCTTGACCTTAACTTTAATATATTTCTTATAGCCTCTCAAAACATAAATAAAGATAAATATGAAATAGAGATAAATATACCATATAAATCTTCTTTAACTGATAGGTTTTTTTTTTATTTTGAAAGGCATAAAATTAATATGAACATATAAAATATAGAGGTTTTTCGAACAGTAGTGAAATACAACAGCAAAAATTTTTATTTTTTATATTATTTTAATTAATTGAGTTTTTGGCTGACCATACAGCTGTTTCGAGTATTGCCAAATACCAATCATCAGTGGTCTTGGAAATAATTCTTGTATTTAATTATTCGTAAATAATTATTTTTGAGACTGCAAATACCAGGAATCGAACTCGGGTCCTGCCAAATGTGAAGCTCAGAATCAGCGCACCTTAACCAACTGATACAAAGCCGTACACAAGCGCAAGTTATAGCTTCTAATTTAGTAGACAGATAATTCTAATCCTATTACTTGTAGCCCCACATTTATATGCACAGCGAACACTGATGGATAATAATATGTAATTTTCTAGTAATTCTATCGATTGCTTTTTAGCTGCTTCATCTGTAAAGTACTTCTGATTAAAAGTTTAAGCTATTTGTAATTATCCACTAAGTTTTAAACTTCAGATTTATTGCATTATTATTTTTTTTTTGTTTGTAATATTGTACTATTTTGGATTAATTGTATCTTAATCTTATATTAAATTCATTGTTTTGTTGCCATATTAAAAAAGAACAGTGGAGCATTCCCCGCCTTTATGGGTTCTCCGGATAATTCTAAATAAACTTTCCTCATTATCTCTAGAACGTGTATAACACATGTTTTTGGCATGGATTGCTTTTATCAATTTGATCTTAATATTTCTACGCGATTAACCGACCACGAATTAATCACAAATTTTTACAAGCAGTTTTCTTCAGGAATCAGCCTCTCGTTTGATAGATATGTCAACAATCAAAATTGTTGAGCCAGAAGCTTGACAGGTGAAAGTCTACTAGCAACTGTATCTATTGTATCTACAGAAATTCACCACATGGTGTAATATTGGGACAGGAAGTGTAATAGAACTATACTTTGCGGAAAATGGCAAAGTTCTAGCAGAAATCGAAAAAAATATAATAGCTATAACCGCATGACTATCAATTTTAATTATTTCCATAGCTATGTAAAATAAGCTGTGGATGTTTAGAATATTTGGTTAGATTATGACTGTGCCACAAACCACACAACATGACCTATTTTTCATGTTGTATAAAAAATGAAAATTCTTGGGATACATTTGGAAAAAATTTTTTTTTTGGAATTTAACGGTTAATATTAATACTTAAATATAAACTATCGTGATTATTTAAACCATTGCCAAAAAGTTAATCAATTATCTTTAAAACGCAATATATTTCAAATTTCTATCATTTATATAGCCTGAGATGTGGCCATTTGAAAATGTGTCTACGCTGCCAATTCTCAAAATCCCATGGGTCCATATCTTCTAGAAAAAAAATTACAAAATATTTTCCCGAGACACAGGTTTTCTTATATTATGAAAGATGTTCATGATGAGGTCTAAAAAGGTTCCGATTTGTAAAGAATGACCCATAACGTCAAAATGAGACAAAATAAACTGATTTGACTGATTATCAAGAGTACATAATTCCTTTATGATTTCTTACAACCATTATAAATGAATGTAAATAATAATCAAAATAAGTCTGGAACAAGCCTTAAAGAAAATGATGTTAATGTTCGGTTATTGTATCAGGATAGTTTTAAAAATATATATTTATATGATCAAAGACATGTGACTAAAGGGGTTTAGAGTGAGCGAAAGTCCGGCACACTGAATCTAAGAACTTTGTGTATGTATACACAAGTTAATATATTCATTATAAATGCATCATGACATGACTGTAAGGTAAATAAAATTATAGTCGATTTAGTATTGGCTTTGAGCCTGTATATGACACCTATGTTTTCTCTCTCAATAATAATAACTATATAATAATAACTATAATAATAATGTAATAATATTTACGTCAACACAACTAAAAAATTCTACTTAATTCTACCTTATGCATGTTCAATTAAATGGGAACTCGTTTAATAAACATATATTAAATTAGTCAATCACACATTAGAACGTGTAGTCTTTATATAGTAAAATAACTAGATTTCGCAAAAGGTGCTGTAATGGAACACTTTCGATTAACTGAGTTTTGACATTAAAATCAAGCAATTTGATATACTTAAAAGAATGAATAATGAACCATTTAGTATAAAGTTTTGTCTTGTATTTAAAAAATTATAATTCTAATTATTTATGTTAAGAATAAATTTAATTTTTATAATTATACTTATAATTAGCCATAATTAATGTATTATTTAATTAAATATCATTTAATTTCTTAGACTATAAGTAACACGATACGAACTTATATTCTGTCAAAATTGGAATCAGGAAGCATTTCTATCGTTTATGCAGAATATATGCCTTTCAAAATATATTTCATCTTAAAACTAATTTCTTTTGAATTAAAAATCTTTTATATATTGACTTTTTTTATTAAATACAATAAAGCGACCTTTATGCCTTTTTCTGGACTTATTTCTATTGTATATAAATTCAAATCGCGCATGAGTAGCTGAAGTGGATTCCATAGTATCTTAAACAAATAGCAAGTCATATTTTCTACCGTTTCAAGGAACCCATATAAGTTTGGCATTGATATACCTAGCTCTTTAAAGGATGTCCTGCCTTCTCGAATAATGACAGATATGGCTGTAATGCCCATCAGGGATTTAATGGCAGCTTAACTGTCGACGGAGATTGCGAAAGGGCATTAGTTTAGGTTTGTTAGATACATTAGATATCTTAACTTTACCAAGAGTTCATAACATATTAAAGCAAACATCGTTGACCCCATAAAATATACATATTCTTGAAACTAACTTCTTTACTTTTTATTAGATATTTTTATGGAGTTATGGCAGTTGTACAAATCTGCTACTATAAACTCATATCTGAGTAAGATTAACAGAGGCAAAACTTGCTCTGAAGCTTTACATTTAATTTTTTAATTAAAAACGACTATATATTAACATATTTACAAATATTTTATTTACAAAAATGATCACAACCATACAGAACGTATTGATTTATTAATTTATAATTAATTAATTTAATTTATTAATTTATAATATTAAATTTCAAAATTTATTTTATTTAAAAATTAAAAAATACAACGTTAATAGTACTTATGGAAATGACAAAAAAGGGATGTTCTCTTTGAAGACTTTCATATTTGCAGTATTAGCGGCAGTTGTTCTTACCCCACCAAAATCCCTATCATCGTCAAACACAGCAAGAAATGCTTTGTGTACTTCACATGCGAAGATTTTTTTCTGTCTATCATTAAATTCAGCTACATATTGCTTAAACGGTTGGAAAAATGTTTCTTCAATAGAAGTATCTGTAGCTTGGACAGAAGCATTCACTAGGCTAGGTGCAGAGTTCTTACTATTTGTAGTAACGTTTTCCTGCATTTCGCTATTTATGCCATCTTCATTTTCAGAACTTCTAATCTTCTCTTCTTCTGATGATGCTAATTTTATGTTTCTTGGTCGATCTCTTTCGATTAGTTTACTTTTTACTCCTTCTGATGGGACTATTTTTATTTTCCTTGGTCGACCTCTTTTACGTTTAATATGATCTGTTACAAGTTGGACAGAAGCATTCACTAGGCTAGGCGCAGAATTCTTACTATTTGTAGTATAATTTTTCTGCATTTCGCCAACTGGGCCATCTTCACTTTTAGAACTTCTAATCTTCTCTTCTTCTGATGGTACTAATTTTATGTTTCTTGGTCGACCTCTTTTTCGTTTAATAGGTTCTGCTTTCAAAATTAAGTTGTCCTTATTCACATCCATGTCAACTGTATGTATTATATCTAACAAGAAAAACCATTAATTCAGTAATAAACATTAAATAAAATATATTTAATTTTAATCCTTAAAGTAAATTACGACAAGAGAAGCTATTATCATAATAAAAAAAGCTTTGAAAAGCAGTGAACGGTAAAATGCAATTTGAATTTATACATCTTTAAATGTTTGCCATCTCGGAAAAATGAATTGGTGAAAGAAGACCTATGCCTAGAATAACTGTTATGGTGCGATGCAATGTCTCTGGAACAGAGAAATTGAAACTGCTCATTATTTTGCTTTAAAGAACTGACAACACTTCCAGTAAACTATAAAAGTAATAAAAAAGCTTGGATAAAAATGACAACTTCATTACAGCACTTTCAAGGAAGAATTTTGAAGAAAATTTTAAATTTCATTACTGGATCCAGTAAAAGCTGAAATAATTATAAACTGTTTCAAAACACCAGTTTTTGTAAAAGGTATTCTACCGAGCTGCAGTCTCCTAATGATGAAATCAATATACCTTAAGCCAAGTTTGCGAAGGATGATGTTTTCACAGGAGATTACGTATGTCTAAAAGAACTATGGTCGAAATGCACCATTGATATAATCGGTGTATCTTTGGATGATTTTACAAATGTCAACAAAGATACAATCACCATACTACATACCCATATTACAAATGAAAATATCTTGCAAATCGTTCGTAAAAATTATTACGGAGTCGAAGATAAATAAAACTTAAAAATTCAATAGAATAATTTTATAATTAAAAGGTAGATTCAAATTAAGGAGACCGAGATCATGAACAAAATTATGATATTGGTTAATTCCCATTGTGTATAGGCACGCGTAATGCGCTACAAATAGTAAGTATATATGCGGGATCACGTAGCGATGTCTCCGAAAAAATTGTTGAGTCTATGAATTTATTTAATAAGTGTGGTTTGACAAGGAAAAAGTTGACTTTTCAAGTTAAATAAAGTAATAACAATTTAAATTATAAATAATAATAAATTATATAATAATTAATAAAAATAATTTTTCTAAACACAAACCAATATATAATATAATAAATGTTTTTAATGTTATGTATGTTTATATGAATAAACATAAATTAAAAATATTTTCAAAAAAAAAATGCTTAATATTATATATAATCTCCATATATACACATAATACATATATAATTTACAGTAAAATGTAAAAAGGTCAAGCAAAAAAAATTTGTTTAACCTCTCTATAACAAAATTTTTACAGGCACCAACGACTTCGTAATGGAGAGATTTGACTCTATTTTATTTGTGACTATAATTCGAGACATTTCGGCTCGCTGTGATCTATTGTACATAAGAAGTACATTAAATGTTTGTGGTGTTACAAATTCGAATTTACAATAAGCAAAACCGTTTACTATAAAGCTAAATTCTTTCAAATTGATTGATAATAAAAACATATTGGTGTTTTTTACAAAATATAACTGTTGTTTTACAAAAAAATGGTCCAATCGCAAAATTTTATTTTCTGCAAAGTTAACTTTTCTGGCATCACCGAAATTATTTTTGCGCGCATCTACGAATAAGAAGCCGAGAGGCAGAGAAGGAAAATTGCGCCTTTTTGGGGAAATTCTTGTTTTTTTCTTGTGCCCTTGCGTTCTGTTTGTTTCAATAAAATTTAAACAAATGGAATTTTTATGGAATTTTTACAGATTTAAAATAAAGTTGCAGAAAATCACTAATTGCACCTTTAAACTCTGTGAAAACACATTAAAAAATCACAAATAAAATATTTTCATATGAAATTTAATTGCCCATTTATTTTGCGATGCATTTAGGATTCAGCAAAACGTTCTGTTTTCCCAGCAGATATTTCAATTCAAATTATTATTAAAAACTAACTAATTATATATCCAATACACACATCAATTTTTCATAATTACAAGATAAGATATATTAACACAAATACCTGCAACCGAAAAAATCACTGATAACAAATTGCACTGAATCCTTGCCCGACTGTATCAATCACAAGTGTATATGTACATCAAACAAATAACAAAACACCGCAAATCGTACCTGCGCAATACACAATAATGACAATATACCTATTGTGCCCTGTGCCCAACAGAGGGAAGTGCAGTTTAATGACGTCACAAATGACAGAACCTGATTGCCAAATACTTTTGAATAGATATTGCAAATTTTATAAATTATTTCACACAATTTTATGGGCCCATACCATATTAGAGAGAAATTGAAAATCAGATCTAATTTTTATAACAGTTTTCGCACAGTAACATTTAGCGGATTGAAATTTTATTCATTCTTTGACTCCTTTGAAAAGACACTGAAACCAATAAACCCATAATATTTTTCTGCTGTGATTTTTGATATATTCTCATATACACTTCAATATTGTTCAATGTTGAATAATGTTAAATATTATAATAATGAAAACTTAAAATATAAGACATAATTAATGATTAAAATATGAATAAATGGTGCTTATTAAGATACTTCATAATGTCGTTGCTACTATAATGCACAACAATGTCTCTACCACCAAACATTGTAGTAACATTTACTCTAACAACAACTACGGTTGCACCACTGCTAGTGCTTTACGACCATATTATAGGCGAACCTCATAGATATACAAATGTATGTACATATGTATTTGTATGAGACCGATATTATATTCCATAAAATATCAAAATTAAAATAATTCAGAAGAACTTGTACACAAAACTATTCTTACTATATATATAATTATAACTTTTTTAAAAAATATGAAGATGTATTTGTATATGCATATATACATCTAACATCATATATACATCTATTTTTTCAAGAATATTCAAACAGTGAGTATAATTTTTCTGAAGACATTTATATATAGCTCTTTATTAATTCAAAGTAATAATATTTTAAATTTTCTTCTATGGTTTACTTTGTTTACATTTTCTACGCAAGAATGCAATCAGCTGTTTGCAATATTTTATACATACATATGTAAGTACTTACGAATGTACTTAGCGATGGGGCAGGCTAAATTTAGTTTATTTTTAAATTAACTTTATTTAATTTATTAATCGAATTCTCTAATTTATTATTAATCGAGCTTCTTGTATTTTTTTCTATGCGTATGCAGTCATCACGCATGTCATTATATATAGCAATTCAATTTTCAAATAGAATTAATAAAATGAAGAAAATATTCTCATATATATATGTACATAATTGCACAGTGTAATCTGTTTCAAATATAATTTAATAATATGTGACGGGAAGTAGTATATGAATATAAATTGTTTATATTAATTACCTATGTCATATAAACATTTTATATATATCATTATATATTTGTGATTTTTAATTTAAAATTATTATAATAATAATAATTTTAAATGATAATATACAAAATTAATATAAAATCTAAAAATATATTCTAAGTTGCATTGTACATATATATGTATGTATTTATATAAGCGATAAAATATATTTCTATATATGCCATCCTTAAAAATGTTTTTCATATATTGGCATATCACAGCTCTGTCTACCTTTGCACATGATCGGACTTTCTTTTTACCTGTTAGTTGTAAGAATTTGCGAAAGGGATTAACAAAAGACATTAACACAAAAACAAAAATGTGTGTACTAAAGAGTTGTGTGCCGTGAACAGCTGCTTAAGGGTGGGTTTGTGTGCTTATATCTGGCTGTGCAGTGCAAGTGACTTAAGTTTGATATACTATTTTGGAACAAATGAAGTAATAAAATAATAATAATATTTAATATTAATGAAAATTATAAATTTCAATACTATAAAATTTTTTTATATTATAAAAACATCCATCTATATGACATACATATGTAGATATCAGTATCTTTTCAAAAGAGTCAAAGAATGAATAAAATTTCAATTCGCTGAATGTTACTGTGCGAAAACTGTTATAAAAATTAGATCTGATTTTCAATTTGTATCAAATATGGTATGGGCCCATAAAATTGTGTGAAATAATTTATAAAATTTGCAATATCTATTCAAAAGTATTTGGCAATCAGGTTCTGTCATTTGTGACGTCATTAAACTGCACTTCCCTCTGTTGGGCACAGGGCACAATAGGTATATTGTCATTATTGTGTATTGCGCAGGTACGATTTGCGGTGTTTTGTTATTTGTTTGATGTACATATACACTTGTGATTGATACAGTCGGGCAAGGATTCAGTGCAATTTGTTATCAGTGATTTTTTCGGTTGCAGGTATTTGTGTTAATATATCTTATCTTGTAATTAAGAAAAATTGATGTGTGTATTGGATATATAATTAGTTAGTTTTTAATAATAATTTGAATTGAAATATCTGCTGGGAAAACAGAACGTTTTGCTGAATCCTAAATGCATCGCAAAATAAATGGGCAATTAAATTTCATATGAAAATATTTTATTTGTGATTTTTTAATGTGTTTTCACAAAGTTTAAAGGTGCAATTAGTGATTCCATTTGTTTAAATTTTATTGAAACAAACAGAACGCAAGGGCACAAGAAAAAAACAAGAATTTCCCCAAAAAGGCGCAATTTTCCTTCTCTGCCTCTCGGCTTCTTATTCGTAGATGCGCGCAAAAATAATTTCGGTGATGCCAGAAAAGTTAACTTTGCAGAAAATAAAATTTTGCGATTGGACCATTTTTTTGTAAAACAACAGTTATATTTTGTAAAAAACACCAATATGTTTTTATTATCAATCAATTTGAAAGAATTTAGCTTTATAGTAAACGGTTTTGCTTATTGTAAATTCGAATTTGTAACACCACAAACATTTAATGTACTTCTTATGTACAATAGATCACAGCGAGCCGAAATGTCTCGAATTATAGTCACAAATAAAATAGAGTCAAATCTCTCCATTACGAAGTCGTTGGTGCCTGTAAAAATTTTGTTATAGAGAGGTTAAACAAATTTTTTTTGCTTGACCTTTTTACATTTTACTGTAAATTATATATGTATTATGTGTATATATGGAAATTATATATAATATTAAGCATTTATTTTTTGAAAATATTTTTAATTTATGTTTATTCATATAAACATACATAACATTAAAAACATTTATCATATTATATATTGGTTTGTGTTTAGAAAAATTATTTTTATTAATTATTATATAATTTATTATTATTTATAATTAAAATTGTTACTTTATTTAACTCGAAAAGTCAACTTTTTCCTTGTCAAACCACACTTCCAATAAATTCATAGACTCAACAATTTTTTCGAAGACATCGCTACGTGATCCCGCATATATACTTACTATTTGTAGCGCACTACGCGTGCCTATAAACAATGGGAATTAACCAATATCATAATTTTGTTCATGATCTCGGTCTCTTCATTTGAATCTACCTTTTAATTATAAAATTATTCTATTGAAATTTTAAGTTTTATTTATCTTCGACTCCGTAATAATTTTTAAGAACAATTTGCAAGATATTTTCATTTGTAATATGGGTATGTAGTATGGTGATTGTATCTTTGTTGACATTTGTAAAATCATCCAAAGATACACCGATTATATCAATGGTGCATTTCGACCATAGTTCTTTTAGACATACGTAATCTCCTGTGAAAACATCATCCTTCGCAAACTTGGCTTAAGGTATATTGATTTCATCATTAGGAGACTGCAGCTCGTTAGAATACCTTTTACAAAAACTGCTTTTTTGAAAGAGTTTATAATTATTTCAGCTTTTACTGGATCCAGTAATGAAATTTAAAATTTTCTTCAAAATTCTTCCTCGAAAGTGCTGTAATGTTGTCATTTTTATCCAAGCTTTTTTATTACTTTAATAGTTTACTGGAAGTGTTGTCAGTTCTTTAAAGCAAAATAATTAGCACTTTCAATTTCTCTGTTCCAGAGACATTGCATCGCACCATAACAGTTATTCTGGGCTTAGGTCTTCTTTTCACCGATTCATTTTTCCGAGATGGCAAACATTTAAAGAAGAAAGAAGTTTTATCGGTATTAAATATGTCTTTACGATTATAGTGTGTAATTAAGTCTGGAAAAATATTTTTGACCCAATTGTCTGATGTCTCTAAGTTCACGTTGCCTCCTTCACCGTTTCTCATAAGTTAAATCGTGTAAATTGAGTGTTTAACCTGCATTTGAATAAATTCGTTATATTGGTTTTTTTTTGTATAACTTGCATACAAAAAAATCTGCGAATCTGAGAAAGCTTCGTTGTAGAGAAGAATTCAAATTGTATTTTACCGTTCACTGCTTTTCAAAACTTTTTTTATTATGACAATATCTACTCTTGTCATAATTTACTTTAAAGATTAAAATTAAATATATTTTATTTAATGTTTATTACTGAATTAATGGTTTTTCTTGTTAGATATAATACATACAGTTGACATGGATGTGAATAAGGACAACTTAATTTTGAAAGCAGAACCTATTAAACGAAAAAGAGGTCGACCAAGAAACATAAAATTAGTACCATCAGAAGAAGAGAAGATTAGAAGTTCTAAAAGTGAAGATGGCCCAGTTGGCGAAATGCAGAAAAATTATACTACAAATAGTAAGAATTCTGCGCCTAGCCTAGTGAATGCTTCTGTCCAACTTGTAACAGATCATATTAAACGTAAAAGAGGTCGACCAAGGAAAATAAAAATAGTCCCATTAGAAGAAGTAAAAAGTAAACTAATCGAAAGAGATCGACCAAGAAACATAAAATTAGCATCATCAGAAGAAGAGAAGATTAGAAGTTTTGAAAGTGAAGATGGCATAAATAGCGAAATGCAGGAAAACGTTACTACAAATAGTAAGAACTCTGCACCTAGCCTAGTGAATGCTTCTGTCCAAGTTACAGATACTTCGATTGAAGAAACATTTTTCCAACCGTTTAAGCAATATGTAGCTGAATTTAATGATAGACAGAAAAAAATCTTCGCATGTGAAGTACACAAAGCATTTCTTGCTGTGTTTGACGATGATAGGGATTTTGGTGGGGTAAGAACAACTGCCGCTAATACTGCAAATATGAAAGTCTTCAAAGAGAACAT